GATTTACTGCATACCTTTTCTTCACGATTTAACGATTAAATGGATAATCGAGAATATTCTGTTTATCGTAATGACTTATGATGATCAAGGCTAGGCGGAAATTCAATCGCGTTGTTCTCGGTTCATAGTGGATCAATTTGAATGAAATTTTCAGCAAATTGCCTTTACATTATCTAGTTTTTAACTATTATAGTGAGAACTGCCAACTCGTTATCGAATCTCCCATAATGTATCTTTAATTGTTATTTTATATATATATTGATAAGAAATCGCTACTTTAAACTCTACTGCGTGTTATTAGAAGATTATCCCTTGCCAATACTCAGCATGTTATCATGAAGGAGAGGTTTTACTCATTTGTTTTCAATTATTACTATGTATCTTATATCTAGTTAGTGGATCAATTTTTATATACAAGTATTGCATGTGATATATTGCCAACATATATATACATATATACGTATTAATTAATACCATTTGTTTTAAAGTGGTTCCAATGTCAACAAGATAAAAAAAAAGACAAATAAAATGCAAAATATTTCAAAGTGATCATGTCAGTAAGTAAAAGCATAATATTAATCCGAGCAATCCGAACAAAAGCAATGGGGTTTAACGTCCACCCGACACAGACTAGGTCATTTCGGGACTAACACGTGGTTTAATTTTATTTCAATAATTCGCTTGCGCGTAGGGGTCTTTAGCAGTGGGAGGAAACCGGAGGACCCGGAGAAAACCCACGAGGTTGTTCAGGCAACCCTACTCCTTGTCACGTACAACCGGGGATTCGAAACCACGCCAGTTAACTCAATAACAGGCACGTACTAACCATGCGGCCATCCACCCCCACCCCCCTCCACGTATTGGGGGAAGATTTGGGTGAGGGGGTGGTGGAGTTATGTGGGGAGCTAGCTTCTTTCCAAAAAGACAGTATTAAAAAAAAAAATCCCTTATTATTCTGTTTCTATGAAAAGTGTAAATTTGAGACTTTTGTTGGTTGAGATGACGTAGCTGACGTGTTTCGGAGGAGAGATCCTCTCCACATACACATCACCCCCGGGCCACCCTAACCAAATTATCCGGCGCCCGCGAGACTATGGTTATGGTCGCATTGAAATTAATATGTAGGCTGTTTTAGTTCGCATTGATTTTAATACATGTGCAATCGATGTTCATTATTTTATGTCGCATTCATTTCAATTTGCAGATTCTCTTTGATTCACGTAATTGTTGATTTGCTAGTTGAGTGTCTGACAATCCCTTTAAACACGCATTGTGCAAGAGCTAAATCTGCTTATTGCATGTCTTTCTTTTTGCCTTAAATGTCGAATTAATAATTCATATAACATTTAAAAATGTTATATAAATTATTAATTCGACATTTATTAACATGACAAGACCATAATCAACTCTTGAAGTCCTCGAATGGCCCCGATTTTAAATAGATTAATATACGTTTTGCGGTTAATGATTTAACGTAAAAATGGATAATCGAGACTTTTTTCATTATCGTAACAAAGGTAGCAATGACAATCGAGGCTTAACTGTTCTGTAGTCGATCATAACTCCGCTCAGAATGAAGTAATTTTGATGAAATTTTCAACCTGTTCCCTTTTCATTATCTATTTGTTAACTATTATAGCCGGAACTGTCAGCTCTTTATCTAATCTTATATAATGTCCCTTTAAGGTTATAAGAGTTCAACTTTCATCAAGCATGAAGATGATGGCTTCCCCAGACAATAATTATACCACTTGATGTCTATGTTGATTTACGATTTGATATCTAAACGCATGAATATTTATTGCAATCTGCCAGTGATGAGAAAAGTCCCAAGAGTTCAAAATAGATTATATCAAATTGTCGTTGAGAGTCAGATGGAATGTTAGTAGTCCATGCGAACAAAGCTCTTCAGCAGCGGTGGGGTGGGAGGGGGGGAGGCAGTACCACGACAAAATATCAGTCTGGCACAATGAAATTAGACTAACATACGGTACAATTATTTTATTTCAATAATTCGCTTGCGCGTAGGTTTTTTTTAGCAGTGGGAGTAAACCGGAGGACCCGGAGTAAACACCCCCTCCCTTTCCCAACATTTGATTCCGGTATTATCTGTCAAGTTAACCTTCACCATAAAATGAAATGAAATGGGGTTTAACGTCTTACTGTCATGTTCCTAGCTTGACTAATAAAGACGGGAATACACCATACAGTGTGCAGTGAGGGCATTTTGCCCGGACAGTGGTGCTACGGTCTGCTCTTATTTCGAATCCCAAATGTCAAGAGTTATTTTAGATTCACGTCAATGTAAACGATTCCTTGGCAGGAATTGGCAGGGACGCCACTGTCCAGGCAAAATTAACCAGGAATTAAACCCGTCTTTGTTAGCCCTGGCACCGAGGAGTGGGACGTTAAACCCCATTTGGTGTATCTGCTTTAAATAGCATCTTCATGGAACGATCATATTTGATAATATTCACAGAACAGGTGGAATGTTCATTTGATAGAGTACATAACGACCACTTAATATACATGCCATCATATAAATATCTTATGGGATGGTCATATTTAATAATATTCATAGTTCTGATGGAATGTTCATTTGATTGAGTACATGTATAATGGTGTTATAATCTGCCAATCGCTAGGATAATTAATGTTTCTTAAATTAACCACTTTAAGATCAACTGGCTAGTAAGTCGTTAACCTGTCATCACATTTCAACTCGTCATTTGGTAACGACGTTAATCCCATCTATTGTTTTTGTTGATTTATTATATTTTTTTAACCCTTTATGCATTGTTCATCCATCGACATGTCAGTTTTAATTACATTTGCTTTTATCCTATAATCGGATATAACAAAATGTGTACATTGAAGGCAGTCACTAGTTAGGATACCTTACTAAGCCCAGTAACTGGACTGTCAGTACTATATGACGATATATGTATATTTATGTTCCGTTATATTAAAGAATTGAAGAATCATTCGAAGTCTGTTATATCCGAAGAATAAATTTACACCTCTAAAACATGTACGACCACTTAAACATACATTATGCAAGAGCTAAATCTGTCTATTGCAGGTCTTTCTTAAGGCCTGAAATGGTATCTAAATTTATAATTAGACATTAATTAACTTATCCAGACCATAATCAACTCTAGATGGCATCGCTAGCCTGCGATCTTAAGTAGATTGTGATCCGATTTACTGCATAACTTTCCTTCTCGATTAAACGATTAAATGGATAATCGAGACTATGCTGTTTAACGTACTGACTTTAGTATGATGACCGAGACTAGGAAGAAATTTTATTCGCTTAGTTCTCGGTTCATAGTGGATCAATTTGAATGAAATTTTCCGCAAATTGCCTTTACGTTATTTAGTTTTTAATTATTATAGTGAGAACTGCCAACTCGTTATCGAATCTCCCATACATACATACCATCATATAAATATCTTATGAGCGATCATATTTGATAAACATTCATGGTTCTGATGGAATGTTCATTTGATAGAGTACATGTACGACCACTTAATATACATACCATCATATAAATATCTATACTGTAATACGTATTTTCCATACTTATTGCTCATTTACCAGTGGGATTCTCTGCCAGAAATACTTCTATTAATTGACCATAGAGTAACATCAACCAAGCAATCAGATTAAACAGGTAACGTAGCTATACGCCTTTCAGCATATTTGTCATCTTTACTGTCATTAGAAATGAAATGAAATGGGGTTTAACATCCTTCTGTTCTGCTCCGAACTGGGCTAATGAAGACGGGAATAAGGGAAATTTTTACTGGAAAGCGGCAATACGGCGTACTCTTATATCGATTTCAAACTGTCAAGGGATCTTTTAGGTGCATGCCAATGTGTACACCGGACCTCGGTTGTTCGTATCATCCGAACGACTAGACAGCTGTCCCTGTCAGGCCCTCTGTCCTGCATAACTGACAAGGGGAAACCGCGCCGAAAAATCTGGAAAAACTTTCTCGGCCAATACAGAGATCGAACACCCGACCTCCAGGCTAGCGAGCCCGCGTCTTACCCACTTCACCACCGTGACACTGCACTAATGAAGACGGGCATACGCCATACATTGTGTTATGAGGCAAATTTTGCTCGGACAGCAGCGCTACGGCCTGCTCTTATATCGAATTCCAACTGCCAATGTGTACACGAGAGCTCGGTTTCCGTCCCATCCGCACGACTGCACATTGCCCCTTACCCGATCCCCCGTTCTATATAATGACTGACAAGGGGAAACTAAGGAACGTTCTCGACTAACATTAGAGGCGAACCACCGCATCTCCTTGCTGACATTAGCCCGACCCTTGTCCTGGCCATTTGGTGGCTATTGTACGTGATAGTTGACATCCAGGGGAGATCCGGACCTTTTTCAGCATATATTATGTTTCTGTATAACGACTTTGGCAAGGCGCAGGTTCAACCCTCAGCAATTTACAGCGAGGTTTTATTAACCCTGTTTCTACAGAATAAAAGGACGTTAAACCCCATTAAACGTGTTTATAACATGTGGACATTGTGTGGTATTATAACAAATGGTGTGAGAGAGAAATGGGGATTAACGTCCACTCGACACAAACTAGTCATTTCGGGACTAACATGGTTCAATTTATTACCCCGGTTGCAATACAATAATAGGACGTTAAACCCTATTTAACGTCTTTATATCATGTGGGCATTATGTGGTATTATAACAAATGCTACTTATTGATATAATATACTACAAGTAGGTATGGAGTTAAATCTGTTTATAACATGTGGGCATTGTGTGGTGGTATTATAACAAATGTTACTTATTGAAACAGTATACTACAAGTAGGTGTAGTGTTTTTGTTGTGCAGATGTTTATAATCATGTTGTGATGTTAGCCAAGACGGAATTTCCCCGGAGGTTAATTTTTTTCTATATTATTGCTCCGTGCTAAAGTTTCGCTCGGTCAGTACTATCACAGTATTAAAAGAGGCTTTTATCAGGATGGAACTGTTTGACGCCGTGCCACACTGGGTTACAGCGTGAAGACATCTATACCGCCTTTACACAGCTACATTTAGCGTGGTTATAGTTTGGTTCCTTTTATTCTGTATTATTACTCCATGCTAATATTTCGCGCGGTCAGTACTATCACAGTATTAAAAGAGACTTTCATCAGGATGGACCGGCTTGACGCCGTGGATTAAAGCGTGAAGAAATCTATACTGTTCTTTGCATGGCTACATGTAGCGCGGTTATAGTTTGGTTCCTCCTAGACGGAATTACCCCAGAGGTTACTTTTATTCTGTATTATTGCTTCGTGCTAATGTTTCGCGCCGTCAGTACTATCGCAGTATTAAAAGAGAATTTCATCAGGATGGAATTGTTTGACGCCGTGCCGCACTGGGGTAAAGCGTGAAGAAATCTATAGACCGTTCTTTACATGGCTACATCTAGCGCGGTTATAGCGTGGTTCCTCTAGACTGAGAAACGTTATAGCAAAGAGCGGTTATAGCTTGGTTCTCACGACTGACAAACTTTACACAGCACGGTGTATAGGATGGTTCTTTGTCTAGGCTGAGAAACTTGCCACTCAGTTTCTTTCATTCGTCTGAACTCTTACATACATATATTCTATAGAGAGTTGGTGTGTTTTTATCACATCAAGTGTTTATGTGTAACGTTAAAGGAAGGTTTGGGGAGGTCAAGATGTTTTAACTTGTAAATACATGTAGTTAAATGGAGTACTGGGTATTCGAGCTATTCGAAGATTTGTTGATACGATCAGCTGAATTAAATGGTGTACTGGGTATTCGAGCTATTTGAAGATTTGTTGATACGATCAGCTGAATCTATGAAAGTGTTGTGAAGGTAAGGAGACGTTACGCTAAATAGTCAAGAAAGTATTTCACATGTTTATGAGAGAGAGAGAGAGAGAGAGAGAGAGATGTGGTTTGACGTCCACTCGACACAAACTAGGTCATTTCGGGACTAACATATGGTTTAATTTTATTTCAATAATTCGCTTGTGCGTAGGGGTCTTTAGCGGTGGGAGGAAACCGAAGGACCCGGAGAAAACCCACGAGGTTGGACAGGCGACCCTACTCCTTGTCACGTACAAACGGGGATTCGAAACCACGCCAGTTGACTCAATGACAGGCTTTATGATACAGCACGCACGTGCTAACCATTCGGCCATCCACCCCCCCCCCCCCACACACACACGTTTAAAGTTCAATTAATCTATATCATTAAGTGAAACGAAATGGAGGTATTTAAGTATCTACTGACAATGACAATCGCTCAAAACGGGTAGCCACGGTGGCGCAGTGTTTAAGGCGCTGGTTCTCTATCCAGGAATGGGATTGGATGGCTGAATGGTTAGCGCGTGTAAGCTGTATCAGAAAGGCTGTCATTGAGTCAACTGGCGTGGTTTCGATTCCCTGGTCGTACGTGACAAGGAGTAGGGTCGCCTGTCCAACCTCGTGGGTTTTCTCCGGGTCCTCCGGTTTCCTCCCACTGCTAAATATCCCTACGCGCAAGCGAATTATTGAAATAAAATTAAACCGTATGTTAATCCCGAAATGACCTAGTTTGTGTCGAGTGGATGTTAAAACCCATCTCTCTCCCTCTCTCTCCAGGAGGGGTCCGGACGCGATTTCTGTATTGGACGAGAAAGTTCCTCGGGAATTGCCAACGTGGTTCCCCCATTTTTAGGGGTTTCGGAACAGAACACGAAAAAGCGCCTAATCGTTCGGATTGAAAACCGAAGGCCCTGTTTACACGTTGGCATGCACGTAAAAGATCAGTTGACAGTTGGAATTCGATTTAAGAGACGAAGGGTATGTGGATACACCGCTGGCTGGATAAAATTTCCCGCATAATACACTGTATGGTGTATGTCATCAGCAATAGCCCGGTTGGTGCAGAAACGGTATAGGACGTTAAATCATTTCATTTATTATGTTTAGGATTAAGCACGAAATTGAGGTTATGCTGGGGAATAAAAGACTGAATATCTTTGGAGGGTTTTTCCCGAAGTCTTTCTTTCCCAGCATAACCGAAGTCGAGGACTTTATCTTGCTTATGTACGTAAAATGAGAATATCTCAGAATTCTAGTAAGAAAAACCTTATATCATGTTTTCTTATGGAAAAAAACTGGAAGAATAACCTGATACAGGTTTAAAGAAAAACTTTCTAAAGAATAACCCAAAATTCCTCTCTATATTCAGACCGCAAGTTATTCCGGATGAATATACCCCAAAAATCAAAGAGATTTATCGTTATAGGTTTATAAGAATGAATAGGAGTCTTCTATATCCGGTATTGGTGGGTCGTACACAAGCACACAGATCACCAAATATTCCTAAGTTGTCATCCACGAAACAAGGGCCAAAGCTATTTTTAGTCTTCCTCTCCCTTTTTCCCCCCTTTAGCATGGCGATTTTTGTTGACTTTTTGGTGTAGAATCGAAGAAAAGGGTTTGAAAATACATTTTCTGCCAGGTTTTGGTGAATATTCATTGTTTTGATGCGGAAGGATACAAGAGTAGCAGTCTCTACTTCCAGCTTGTGTATCTCAAGTTTTTCATGAAGAACCCCATATGTGCTTTTGGGCAAGAGGTTGCCAAATGTTGCTCCATCTGTGGTAGAAAGCGTTCTACCAAACGAAAATTTGGGAAAAAGTTAGAGCCGGTCTAAGATACGAGAATTAAAATTAAAGTCAATGGTGAAATCTTTAGTGATCTGTGGCCATAACACAGTAACACATTGGTGGGTCACACACACCACAGTGACACATTGCAAACATATGTTTGTGAAATCAAGCTACAGGATTTAAAATTGGATTTAAATTATTTCGTGTTCTTGTAAAAATGCACTTTGTAAACTTCTCTAAATCTGGGGGAAGAAATCGCAGGTCAGTTTAATATATTAGACTTGCAGCCAAAATTTCCAGCGTGAAATTCCGCTACAAGGGCCTCCCTACTAAACAAACGATACATTTTTAGAAAGCTTATAAACTCCAGGAACACAAATCGCGAGAGTTCCATGCGAAATGTTTGCAATAACTCGATTTAAGGCCTTATGACAATCGTCATAATTCTCAAATAAATACTATATTTATACTAACAATTCTGAAGTTAACATAGAATTAAATATTGGCGAAAACACCCGATGCCTTCGTCATCGGCAAGGAATATGGTATTGGTTAAATTTGAATTTAAACCAAAATACACAATGGGCAAGGGACCATACGGAATTTTGGAAACGTGTCGCTTGTGGAGTATTTCACCAATCGGATTGCGCCGTATATTAACGCATCATATAGTGGGGTGTTTCATCAATCGTGGCATTCAGTAAGTCTTCTCTGCGATATCACTTCAGTGGAAGCGGACATTAAAGAAAGCTATTTAGACTTCTTTATGTCTTGTTTTGTTTCTCTTAATGGAAAACGCCTGTTAGTCATTTAATTATTTACACGTTTCCATGTAGATTATGGATTTTACAATTGTGTCGTGATCTGATGTTCGCTGTGCAGAGATTCCTTCAAAATGTCGTTCAGGTATGACCTGTTTAGGCTTCTCATTACGTCTCTCTCTCTCTCTCTCTCTCTGTAGTTCATTCGATCAACACATTTGAGAATTTTTTATTTTTTTTTAGATTTTAGAAATAATCCAAGACGCAACAATTAATAGATAGCCATAGCTTCGCATTAAACCACACGCGGAATACAGGATTGAGTTCTTATTCAAAGACATTTTTCAATTCAATTTTAAAAATTCCATTAGCAGCGATATCAACAATCTGATTTAAACACAGATCCGTTTCGTTTCTTATAGTTCAAAATTTCGTTTTACTTTTCTTTACTACACGAGGATATGGAAGAATTGTTATATTACCGGCGTTTTGGCTGAAGTGAGGGATAAACCAATGAAACAGTCTGTTACGGCAACTTCTTGGCGTGTCATACACGGAACTGTGGGTAAACTACTAGAAACGCCAACGCTGATTGGTTATTCAATAGCTGACGTCATAGGGTCAAAAGCCACTCCTACGACCTCCCTGACACGACCTTCGCGTCCAACTTGTCAAATCTTCATGTAGTGTAGGCCATCGAAAGTATAAAAACAAATTGAAACGAAATATAGATCTGGGGCCTGTTTCACGAAACTTCAACTAAGATAAAATCCCAATTTTATTAATATGATTGGATAATATTAGATTGCTTTTAGTGCTTAGCCAATCAGACTTGAACTATCTACTAAAATTTGGGTTTTATCTTTAGTTAAGAATTCGAGAAACAGGGCCCTGTATTTTAAAGTTACAATTTCATATACTATTCAAAGTCACTATAGAACCTAACAGAAGAAACATTTCCAGTTACATGTGACGCCCAAACGCACCAATAGCTACCGCATGGAATGCAGGTGATGCTTGGGATCATCATGGGGTCCAACCCAAGATTTGCACGACTCTGACTTTGAATGTTACAGTCATTGTGGCATTAATTGTTTTAGTGACCAGAAAACAAATTTTGATATGCGTCGGCTTACCCAAAATGAAAGGTTACGTGCCCTTGGCATGCTACAGATCGGCACAACACAGGCGGTTGTGGCGCGGACGATGAATGTTTCTCAGTCTGTCATAAGCAGGCTATGGTCCAGATACCGTGATACACAATCTGTACAGGACAGATCACGCCCAGGTCGACCAAGGGCGACAACTCAAGCCCAGGATCGATTTATCCGTACCTTGGCCTTGAGAAATCGTGTCATCAAAGCAAATCAGATCAGCGCTCGTCTTCAAACAGACACTGGTGTGAGAGTCAGTGGCCAGACGATTCGGAATCGACTGCATAGGGGTCACCTTCGCGCCCGACGTCCTCGCGTGATCCCTTGTTTGAGAGATCATCACATTCAGGCAAGACGTCGTTGGTATAGGTATCGTCAACACTGGGATAATCGACGCTGGAGCAATGTGATGTTTTCAGACGAGTCAAAGTTCACTGTTGATTTTTTGGACAGACGTAGGAGGGTGTGGCGTCGTCGAAACGAGCGCTTCCAAGACGTTAACGTCATCAGACATGATCGATTTGGGGGTGGTTCTGTTATGGTGTGGGGAGGCATCACTGTTGCTGGAAGAACGGCTTTACATGTTGTTGCAGGGCGTGTTACAGGCCAGTACTACCGGGACAACATCTTGGCAGCCCATGTTGTGCCGTTCGCACGACGTCATGGCCGCCGTTTCATCTTCCAGGATGACAACGCAAGATGTCACAGGGCCAGGATCGTTACAGGTTACCTCCAACAACAGAACATCACCACATTACCTTGGCCAGCACTGAGTCCCGACCTCTCCCCCATCGAGCATGTCTGGGACATGCTTGGACAGAGGTTACGTCAACGTCAACAACGTCCTGCCAATGTCCAAGAACTTGCTGCTGCGTTGCAACAGGAATGGGACAATCTGGACCAAAATGACCTTAGACGTCTCATTAGGAGTATGCCACGTCGGATCAATGCTTGTTTGGCAAACAGAGGAGGATTTACCCGTTACTGACATGGTTGTGATGCTGTGGTAACTTTGCTGTTTGACCCCGGGTATCATTTTACCCTTATAATGGTCAGTCTGTGCCTTACTTAGTCTAACGATCATTTGGAATAAATCGATGAATGTGAACTTCATTTCATTTTGTCATTTTTTTCTTCGTCAGTTTCATTAGGTGACTTTAATAACACTTAAAAATCAAATATCCCCTACTTTTTTTAAATAGTATATTTTCAAAGAAAATCAAAACATGATTATTTCTATGTCTTTTGCTCAATAGATTGTCTTTCTAACACTTAAAAATCTTCACACCGGAAATAATA